CAACAAGGATACTACCCAACTTCTCCGCAGCAGTCAGGACAAGGGCAACAACCAGGACATGAGCAACAGCCAGGACAATGGCTGCAACCAGGACAAGGGCAACAAGGGTACTATCCAACTTCTTCACAGCAGTCAGGACAAGGGCATCAATCAGGACAAGGGCAACAAGGGTACTACCCAACTTCTCTGTGGCAACCAGGACAAGGGCAACAACCAGGACAAGGGCAACAAGGCTACGCCAGCCCATACCATGTTAGCGCGGAGTACCAGGCGGCCCGCCTAAAGGTGGCAAAGGCGCAGCAGCTCGCGGCACAGCTGCCGGCAATGTGCCGGCTGGAGGGCAGCGACGCATTGTCGACCAGGCAGTGATAGAACTCTCTGCAGCTTGCATGGTGCTTGGGCATGCATGCACCTTAGCTATACAATAAACGTGACGTGTGTTCACAGCTTTTCGTGTAACTAGAGTAAAGCCCAATAATAATGCAAGATGAAAAGCTTCTCCGACTAAAAAAAGAACAAAACTGGTGCTATATAGTATGTGTTGCATGTCTCAGTTCATTGTCAGCCACTGAATGCAAACATACTCCTATATTTTGCATGCGAAAAAAGAGGGTGTGGCAATATCCCTAGCTAAAACTAACAACAGTTAGAAGGAAAAAAGAACAGACCAAAAATGGCTTCTTGGTTTGAGACCTACCATCATCCAAGCAAGGGAAAGGGAAAACGCCACATTCTTCGGGTGCAGACTAGGGATACGAGAGAACAATTGTGCGCTCACCTGTGCCTCCTGCCGCTCCTTCTAACCGCCGGTGAAAATTCTTATCCGGTGATCGTAATGATCGGCACGAGAGTGCTCGCCCACTCTCGCGTCGATCCAGCAATTCGATGGGGTGCTGCTGCTCATGGATTCGTGGTCATTGCACCGTGAAATGCAGCAGCATACGCCTCGGGTGCTGCTGCTCGTGGGTTCGTGGTCTTCGCACCGTGAAATGCAGAAGCATACGCCTCCTGAGCTGTGCTTGCTGTTGTTCATGGATCCGTGGCTTGTGCGGCAGGAAGAAGAGGGAGGCTGGGCAAGAGACATCGACATCAGAGAGAAAGAAAACAAAGAGGAAGTGGAGGCGCAATTTCTGTGGCTGGACGTCACATGAAGCGAAGGAGCCATCAACATCAGAGACAAAGAAAACAAAGAGGAAGTGGGGCCGCAATTTCTGTGGCTGGACGTCACATGAAGCGGAGGAGCCATCGACATCAGAGACAAAGAAGAAGAGGAAGAACGGGGCGTCGAGCTCTGAGCCGGACAACAAAAGGTGGTTCAAGACCAAGATTTGGAGAAAGAAGAAGGCCAAGAACAAACA